CAACTTAGAAATTTGAACGGAATTTGACTGATGGTGGACGTTTTCAACGTTTTCGGTAATCGTGCTCAGGGTTTTCGAAATACGGTGTGTTGAAATTAGCACAAATATAACATTTTCTCAAATATGTTTGAGAATGTTTGATCTGGACTAATTAAACTTGAACCACTTATTTAGGCGTTTTAGGAATTATATTAATGCCGCTTTACTCGAAAAAAAAAACGAGTCATTTTATATTTCTGATTTCTTTTTTGGTTTTACCGAAGCCAAACTTAGTAACTCAACTTAGCGAATTTTTACTTCTATTTAAATTAGTTTTATCAGTCCACTTAAAATATTTGTATCTGTATCTCGAAAATGAAGAGTAGGTACTACGACCCACATTCATACGAAATTTTTTGGTTAAAATGATTTGTTGCATCCCTTGTTGAAGTTTCCCTTTTAAAACTAGATTTGCCCTAAACTATTAAAAAGTAAAAAAAGATAGAGTAGGGTATTTGTTATTTTTAATGCTAAAATATATACTAATTTAATAACTTTTTACATCTCAAGTTAAGAACCTTTTGTCCTATTTTTTAATAAGGAAGTTGCCCACGATTCGATCAGCATAAATTTTTTTAAAACACCTTGTATGTTTGTGAAAGAAAAAACACCGACATTGACATCAAAATTGAAATTCGGAATGGATATAATACCTAGTACTTTCTTGTTTTGTAATAGTAGTAATGTTTAACATACATAAATTTACATAATTAAACAGAGTACATAAAAATACGTTTAGGGTATTGCTTGTTTAAATTAATATTCTCTAAGTAATGAAAAAAAAATGTAAAGTTTGAGTTTAGGTCAAACTAATTTTTCTCTGAATAACTTCAGAAGCTCGAATTGTGAAGGAAAATGATTAAATCAAAATTTGTACTATTTTGAATGACAAATTTGATGGTGACCTTGGATTCGATTTTGTCAAGTTGCAAACCAAAGTGCAAATTTTACGTCGGAATCTGGCTTAAATCATCTTCCCCTAGAATTCGATCGCGTCGTGCTATTAAAAAAATTGTTTGACCGCTAAATAAGCTGCAAGGACAGACCCGAAAAATATTCGGATACAAAATTTGTTTCTCTATAGATTGCTGCCACCAAAAATAGGGAGTTCCACTCAACATTTCCAAGTTGACCTTGGCTTGACTGAAACTTAAGGCCAAAGTCAAATTCAAGGTCACAAGCATACAACTACATACATACAATTCGTATGTGTATTTTTTTATAGGAATTTTATAATTCTTTTTATAATCGAAGTAATTTCGTGTTCACTATTCTGGTTGTATTATGAATTACAAAGAGAAAGCAAATAATAAGAAAAATAATACAAATGTTTAATTTGAGTAAGCTGTAACACCCGTTACTGATTTTTACTTTAGGATAAGTATACAACACATTTTTTTTTAATTGTATACAGAGATGTCGATTTAATAATATATACGTTTTAATGTAAAACAACCTACACAGATGCCAGAAATGCCAGACACAATCCAACTAAGATTGCGAATATCAAGGTTTTAGACTAATTCAACTTCCGGCTGAGATAGCAAGTTCTTCGGCCGGAATAAAAAGAACCCCTTACGGCGAGAACAAGGGAAGGGGCTGTTTTTGTTCGATTTGAAAGGAATACAAATATTAATTTTGATTATCGAGGACGTGACTTGTATTTCATATTTTTGTTTTTTCCTTTGTATGTTTGCTTCAAGTTCGACCTTAGATTTCTGTAGCTTTTTCAGATATTTTTATACAGGATGTTAGAAATTTGACAGCCGTAACTTTAACAGACGATAAAACGATTATAGTCTGTTTGGAAATGAAAGAGAGTAATAAAACCCCGTGATAAGAACCGGCCATGGGCGAGGTAATACTTCGTTTCAGGTAATTATCGGGTAACACTAATGCTAACAGGTAATGGGTGTACATTAGTATATTTTACTGGATACAGCATAGGGCAGGAGCCAGTGTATTGTAACAGATCAATCCAGTCTTAGAGCTGAATATACGAAGACGTGCTAGTGCAGTAGAGTAAAATTCGACTTGTGTTTAGTGACTATTGTGCCAGTGGATATAATATTGTTTGGGTAAAATGTCGAGCTTATCAGATTACGTACCTACCTGCTAAACGCGTGAAAAGATGTGCGCTGTCTCAGAATGATAAGATTATTATATTAAATGTATTTAATGCATTGAAACACCAAAATCCTACCAACAGTGTTGACGACATCGTGGAAAAGTGGGAACTCGATAATTTAATTGACGTTACTGTGGAACCTATCGTTATCAATCTAGGAGACGAAGATAATTCATCAGAATATTCAGAGGACGAATTTTAATATACCTACTTTTTTATTTTCTTTATTGTACATTTATACAACACTACATTTACTCACCATAATTTGAATTTTCAAAATACTTATATTTTTGTGTGGAATAAAAGTCTATTCATTAAATTTAAATAAATATTTTGATAATAATATTGAATAATTTTATTTGAATTACTAAAAACCCTCTTAACCCGGTTATGATGCTTAAAGTAGCCTCATGTTTTGAAATGCTGTTTTTATATTGTTTACTTATAAGAGAAATGGACCGATAAATTGAAGCGGCATAGACAAAGACGGATTGTCGGGGATTAAATTTTAGCTACCTGCTACAATTTAGTTCAACCCGGTCACATAAAGTTTTTTTAAAAGTACACCTCATCTATACCGATAAAACATAATATAAAAATATTGAATATAAGCACCAGTACTACATTTATTTACGATTTGCATACATAATAAGCTTTTATTACTCTCTTTCATTTCTAAACAGACTATAAAATAAACAAAAAAAACTTATATGACATGGGTCCTAAACTGCACCATTTCCGAGAAAAAAATCACCAACATGATGTACGAAAGTTCGATTAATTAAGGAATATTGACATAACTGCGTGCATAGAATACTATAAAATACAATGTTTATCACTTTTTTTTAACTTTTTTATGCTTAATTCTAAAAAATAATGCGTTGTAATAAATTTAAAATTCGATAAAATTCATTTCGAGCAAAGTGACAGCGGCGCGGCGGATAACACGAGCTACTAAGCTGTCCAGCATTATGCAATTCAGTTGGTATCTGGAATTGGACCGTATCTGAGTGTTTTTTGCGTACCACTATTTCCTTTTCTTGAGGTGTTGTCCAGCGAGTGCGCGAAAATTGGATTCGAAGGTGTCATGCGTGCATTGAAAATGGTGGAGGACATTTTGAGCATATATTGTTTTGCACTTGTGCGTACCTAAATTATTTTTAATACGTATGATTATTTGGATGACGTGAATATTTGGGTAATTTAATTACGTATTTTTCAAATTTATAATTTGATTAAAATTTAAGTTCCTGTTTTAAGAGACTCATAATTACTAAAATTCGAGCTAAAATTTAAGCACAAGACTATCTTCGTACTACAAAATCGATACATTTTATTTTATTTATTTAAAAACTGGAAAACGATTGTCTTGAAATTTACTAAATGTTTCACAATAATAGTTGTTTACATNCTGTTTTAAGAGATTCATAATTACTAAAATTCGAGCTAAAATTTAAGCACAAGACTATCTTCGTACTACAAAATCGATACATTTTATTTTATTTATTTAAAAACTGGAAAACGATTGTCTTGAAATTTACTAAATGTTTCACAATAATAGTTGTTTACATTTTTTCCGAAGGACAAGTCTGCCGCGTGCATGCTGTATTTTGAAAACTGTTAATCTTACGCCCTTGTAATAAACAACTTTTTTGTTCATATCTCATGCTGAAGTAATGGCAGTCAAATTTCTTACATCCTGTATACAGTTAAGTCAGTTGTAATTATTTTTAGGAAAGATTAAGGAATTGCCTCAAAATTGCTCGTAGAATAGTCACTATTCAATAGTGACACTTCCACAATATTATTATATCTGCTTACCAGTTTATCAGTATTTAATTTGAGTTTTAATATATTTGAAATTTTTTTCTTGGGAAGTGAAAATGATAGAGATTCTTTCGCACTACGGCACTGAACAATACCTTTTTGATTAGTCGTCAGTGCCGCGAAAAACAACTACTCCGAGGGCTATTTGCCCCTACCGGCATTGAATTACATTCGCGACACCCAGTACAACAGCTAGGATCGTTCATCAGCTGGTCCCACCAGGCACAGACCGGTTTCGGACTTATTAGTCCTCATCAGTGTGTCATAGGTAGGACAACCGATGAACGATCCAGCTGCTAAAAGTCGTAAACTCCCGACAAGAGGTACATAGTACGCGAAGCACAAAGGCTCCATCTATCGCGCTGACTTCCACTATACCATTCAAATGGCTACTACGGTGGAAGCGACCTGCTAAAATTTGTCAGGTACTTTATTGCAAGAATGTCGCCTATAGAGGGCGAAACACTATGTAAGTTGTCAGTGCCGCGAAAAACAACTACTCCGAGGGCTATTTGCCCCTACCGGCATTGAATTACACGACGACTTACATTGTGTTTCGTCCTCTATAGGCGACATTCGTGCAATAAAGTACCTGGCAAATTTAAGCAGGTCGCTTCCACCGTAGTAGCCATTTGAATGGCATAGTGGAAGTCAGCGCGATAGATGGAGCCTTTGTGCTTCGCGTACTATCTTTTTGATTTGCTGCTGCCCTCCATATTAAGAATTATATATTTTTCGAGGTACTTAATTAAATATTGACAAAAAATTAAACACACGTAAAAATAGTCACAAATAAAGTGGTAAAGTGAGAGTTTTCTTATTAGAATGATTTTAAATTAACATAATATATGTGACCCCTTGCCCCCTTGTTCTCTGTCACCCACATTTAATATTTTTTTGTATTATAACTACGAAAGAACTATTTTTTAGATTTTACACGTAACAGTAACAGTTATTAAACCAACATCTCTTGTATACACGGAGAAAAGAGTTATAAAAGTCGGACTTACCTTCTTGTCTACTTCTAGCGACCTCCTGTACCCAGCGTAACCCGGCCTGTTGGCCATGTAACTGTTGGCAGCGTACAGCCCCGTATAAGGCTTAGGCAGTCCGAACAACCTGGGGGACTGCTGCAACCCAGGCGAGGGGCTTGGGCTGGCGTTCTGATCTAAGGGTACTTCTCTCTCCACCGTGAGTCGCACGAACCTCTCAAGCCCCGTCAGCATCCCGACGGCCTGGGTGTGGGTGGCGCCGGTCAAATCTACCCCGTTGATGGACACCACCCGGTCGCCCACCGTGAGCTTCCCATCCTTGTCCGCGACGCCGCCGTCGGTGATGCGCGACACGTACACGGCATCCGAATCGGCTTTGAAAGGCTGCGATCCCTTGCCGCCGGCTATGCTGAATCCCAAGCCGCGGGAGTCCCGGATGAGTGTGGTGTGCACCAGGACCTTCTGCATCTGCACGTCGTCCTCGACGGGCGGCAGGGGCGGAGGGGGGACGTGGTAGGTCTCGTGCTTGGCAGGTGCCGCCGCTGGAGCCGGCTCGGGCTTCTTCACCAGCCGGGTCACTTCGCGGGTCACCTCGAGGATCAGCACGTGGCCCGAGGCCTTCAGCACCTCGACGGCGTCGTAGTGGCTGACGCTCACCACGTTGACGCCGTTGACGGTGAGCACCTTGTCGCCCACCTTGAGACCCGCCAGGTCGGCGGGGCCGCCCTCCGTGACGCGCGATATGAAGATGCCCTCGTCGTCGCCCTTGAAGGGCGTGGAGCCGCGGCCGCCCGCGATTGACAGACCGAGGCCCGTCTGCGAGCGCTCGATGTGTATCTCGTACTTTTCTTCTCGCAATTCGACCGTTGCGTCGGAATCTCCTGCTATAAATTAAATAAAAAATGGTTAGGGGAGGGTGGAAGGAACGGTATACGAATAGTCGTCGACGAAGACGCAGGTTGGCCGCGTGACCACGTGGTCCTTGTTTTGAGTCACTGTGTTTAACGGGCGTGGCACCTTTTTGGTGTTTTTTTACTACAATTTTATGTGAAAGCTGTACAGAGCAGTGGCGGTTCGTGGATCTAGAACAGGGATGCACATACCGCGGCCCGCTGTCGATGTTTATGCGGCCCGCCAACGAATTTTAAAAGTATTCTACTCGCCGCGCTCCGGTCCAAGCATATTATTACGAGACTAGAAATCTGTCGCATCAACTAGATTACAGATTCGCGAAACACGTCGATCCCCGAACAAAGTGGATGGTTCTCGATGTTTGGTAACTCGTATAAATACGACGCATCGCCGGCTACCGGGGCAGTTAAGTTTTGACTACGGATAAGCGAACGTTATACTGTTTGAGAACTGTAATCTGTGACGAGTAAATATTTCGTCGTTCGAACTTGGCTTTTACCGACTGTAACATATAATATTAATTTTGATATGGATAAACCAGGCCCCAGTAAGAAACGTAGTCGTAAGGTTGAAGATGAAAATCGACAGTTTCATGATATTTGGACCGAAAAATACTTTTTTATTTCATCGCATAACAAAATTGTCTGTTTAATATGCAAGAGTAGTGTTTCTATTCCGAAGGAATATAATGTGAAAAGGCACTATGAAACCCAGCATCCAACTTTTACCAAATTAACTGGCGAAAATCGAACGCAAAGAATTTCCACTTTACAACGGGAACTAATAGGCCAGCAATCTATGTTTACAAAACCAATTCAAGATGCTGAAACAGCCACTGAAGTTAGCTTTGAAATATCTCGAATAATAGCGAAAACTTGTCGGCCTTTTAAAGATGGTGAGTTTGTTAAGCAATGTTTGGATATCGCCGCAAAAAAAATTTGTCCGGAAAATGTAAAGAAGTTTGAAAAAATTCAGTTAAATCGGATGACTGTTCAAAGAAGAATTACCGCATTAGCAGATAATATAGAAGAGCAATTAGCTACGAAATCGAGAAGTTTTGAGTATTTTTCTATAGCGCTCGACGAATCTACAGATATAAGTTCAACTGCTCAACTATTAATATTTTTACGAGGTGTAACGCAAAATTTTGAAGTGAGTGAAGAACTGATTGGTATGAGTTCTTTGACAAGTCAAACCAGGGGAAGTGACATGCTCAAAGCTCTTCTAGAAAAATGTTCTATAATGGATTTGGATTTAACGAAAATATCTGGAATTACAACTGACGGAGCACCTTCAATGGTTGGAAGTACATCTGGGATAGTAACTCTGTTAAAAACATATTTACAAACTAAAAACATAAATACCAAGGAATTAATGCAGTTTCATTGTATTATACATCAAGAGGCCCTCTGTTCAAAATTATTGGGATTTGAAAATGTTATGAAAGTTGTAGTACCTACCGTAAACTTTATAAAATCACGAGGTCTCAATCACCGACAATTCAAACAATTTCTCGAGGATATTGAAAGCGAATATGGTGATCTCCTGTTTTACACTGAAGTAAGGTGGCTAAGTCGTGGGTTGACACTACAGCGATTTCTTAACTTGATTGAAGAAATCCAACTATTTCTGGCGGAAAAGAAAAACGACGTCCCCGAACTCGACAACCCTGATTGGCTGTGTGACTTAGCGTTTCTTGTAGACATCACAAATCACTTGAATGTCTTAAATACGCGACTCCAAGGCAAAGATCAATTGATTTCGCAGCTATACTCTCATGTTTCGTCCTTTCAATGCAAATTGAGTCTTTTCAGGACACAAATCAATTCAGCCAATTACGGCCATTTTCCGAACTACAAAAAAATTATGGAGAAGTTCAATAAAACTGACGTCAATTTCGCTCATGTTGAAAAAATTGATATTTTGATACAAGCTTTTGAAAATCGTTTTGTAGACTTCAAAAAAGTTAAACCGCTATTGGACATTTTCAGCAATCCTTTCAACATTTCACCCGAAAATGCGCCGGAATTAATGCAGCTGGAATTAATAGACATGCAAAATGATGATAATTTAAGAAACAAATTTAATGAAGGTAATTTACTCAACTTCTACCGTTGCGTTGATAAAAACGCTTATAAAGAGTTGCGAATAAATGCATTGAAATGCGCAAGCTTATTTGGATCGACGTATATTTGTGAACAAACGTTTTCAGTGATGAAACTTAACAAAACGAAAAACCGAAACCGTCTGGCAAATGAAAATTTGGAAGCAATTATACGTGTGACTACAAGTAATGTGGAGCCAAATATAAAAAAACTTGTTAGTTCAATGCAATGTCATACATCAAAATAATAAAACATGAAATATTACATTGTAATGATTACATAATTATTACAACAAACATTATTGAAGGTTATTTTATTTTTGTCATTGTATTTCATACTATTTAAAAATAAAAAATTTTGTGTTAATAAATATTGTTTGTAGTGGCCCGTCCTTGGCTTATATTTTTCCCGAGTGGCCCCTGTTCCCTATAAGTATGTGTATCCCTGATCTAGAAAAAGGGATCAATTTTAATCAGTTAACACATTTTAAATGATTTATATAATAAATCGATCCTCTGATCCTTTTGAGATGCGAAGTGATCAATAATTTTCTCTTTGAAGTCGTTTATTTTTTAACAATTTTTTTTATAACGAGCATAGTCTTAACCCATCTTGTTTCACTATACAGGGTGGCACAAAAGTATGGAAACCCCTGAATAACTCGTCAGGAGTGCATTTTCTTGAAAAATGATAAATACAAAAGTTTTAGGTTTTAGTTTTTGTCAAGGTCGTAGTCGAGGTCGCATTTGAAGCTAAAATTTAAGCTCTGCAAATGCGCAATAAAAATTAGCGGTTTCTATTGAAAAAACAACCTTGACCTTGGAGACCATGGTCAAGGTCGTAGTTAAGGACATGGTCGAGGTCATAATTTGAACGTAAAGTTTCATTCACTCTTCAAATCCGTAATAAAAGATACTGGTTCCTGTTGAAAAAACAGCTTTGACCTTGGAGTGACCTTGAAGGTCGTGGTCAAGGTCACACTTGAGCGTAAAATTTCCTGCTCTTTCCAAATCCGCAATAAAAAATAGGGGTCCCCATTTGAAAAAAAAAATTTGACCTTGAAATAACCTCGAAGGTCAAGGTCAAGATCGAATACAAGCGCGCCATTGGATAGCCAGGGAAAAATCCTGAAAGTTTTGTATTTATAATTTTTCAAGAAAATGCACTCCTGACCAGTTATTCAGGGGTTTCCATATTTTTGTGCCACTCTGTAGTTCTTAAAAATATTTTTATCCTATTTAAAATTGAAGATCGACACTCACTTTTGACTGTTATTAGGGTTCGTATAAATAACAGGGTGATTCAGTAACAATGTCATTAATTTTAACCACGTACTCGGAAGGCCTAATAAAGACAGAAAATCGACAAAAAAAATTCTCGATCTTTTAAAATAGCGATTTTCGGAATGTCAAAACGATGATTCAATATTGTGTGAAATTTGTTGTGTAAAAAGTATTTATAAGATGTAAAATGATTTGTGTTGTGTTAAAAAGGCCTATAAAACTGTATTCAAATCCCAATTTACGTTCCAAGTAGTGTATAAACATTATTAGTTGTCAAAAATCGGCGGACTTGAAAACATTTCAGTTATAAGTTAATTCAAACAGGAAAAGACTGTTCAGAATAGTGAAAATAAGGAAATATCAATGTCGTGGAGCAGTATTACAAACATAGAATTAAGCTAAATAGCACAGTTTGGTTAAATTTTGAAAAATTTTGAAGAATTTGTAGAATGTTTGAATATGTAGAAAGTAAGTGTCTAATACTAGGAAAATGTTTAAATCTGGCAACGTCACTTCAAGCCGATATCGAGTTGACTTGGCTACTCAATTTTCTCTATCCTCGCTTAAAATTAATGACATCCGAATCACCCTGTATAAATATATGAAAACTTGTTTCTTGTTGGTCAACGATCTTTTTTTGACTTGTTCTTCTCTCCGCTACAAAGAGATGGTCACATGCTTCAATACTATTAAAAGTTTTCTAACTTCGAATGTAATCAGATCAAAAACAGCTATAAAAAAGATATTTAGCAGTACAATAGCCTTAGACCGCTAACGATAAATATCACTGCACCATTAAAAGCCGTAAAAAGATATTTAACGTTCTCATTAACTTTTATTCGGTAACAGGACTAACGGAATACAAAACGATCGCTTTATTCGAGACAGAAGAAGCGAGAAAGTACAATTTTAAAATTAATACAAACGCCGCTACCGTTCAAATCATTTCAACTTCTTTCTCCAACTACTAAAAAACTACCTAAGAAACCGTGAGTCCCACTTACATCAACAAATGGTACGAATGGCATTTCCCTTCCAATGATTTAATTTTCTGAGCGGAGAAACGGCCCAAAGAAACCGTACGGATAGCGATCGTGAGATAACTTATTTCTGCATTTCCGTCTATGCAAATGGACCTACACCTTTCATGTCTCCTTTATTTAATCCAGATGCAATTTGTATCCGTAATTGATTTGTGAATAACGCAGCACAATCGAGATTAAATCTCAGCAGATGTCAATACCGTAAGCTCATTTCACAATACCGTATCTATAGTTTTACGTCTGAAAAACATAATTGAATTTAGTGGTCCAAATAAATTAATTATTGGACGATCAAAAATAATGCGGAATTTATTTTTACTGTAACTTAATTTTTAGTCGATCACATTGGCCTTGGAAACGAAATAAGTCAAAGCACAAATTTAGACGGTCGTGGAAAAGAATGGCTTTGATATGTGAAATCTATCGGTTCCACAAAAAAAAAAAACTTTCTCTTCGTTTGAATTTTATTGTTTATGCAATTTTTTTACGCCAAATTGTACTTGTTCTTGTATTATTAAACAAATTACTTCCACGATATTTA